AAGGATAGCTATACAGGGAGTTGACTCGCATTGATTTCCTGTGCATGTATGTTACCTTCTAGGTTGCTTCTTCTTGATCTAACCTTTTCTCTAGTTTCTGGTCCCCTTCTCCTATTGGCCTCAGTTGCTTTAAAGTATCTGCTTTAGTTTCTCTGCATTGAGGGCAACAAATGCTATCTGGTTTTTTAGGTGTTTTACCTATCCTCACACCTCCCTTGTATGCTCAAGTCCATGCCCTTGTTGTGTTTGCCCTTGATCTAATGTCCACATATGAGGAGAACATACGATTTTTGGTTTAACCCTTGATCTCCATTTCCATCCATCTACCAGCAAATGATAATATTTTGTTCTTCTTCATGGCTGCATAGAATTCCATTGTGTATAGATACCACATTTTCTTGATCCATTCGTCAGTAGTGGGGCATCTTGGCTGACCCATTGTTCATTAAGTAATGACTTATTCAGTTTCCACCTGTTTGCAAGTTTTTTGTCTTTACTTTTGTTGTTGAGTTCTAGTTTTATTGCATTGTGATCAGATAGAATGCATGGTATGATTTCTATTTTCTTATATTTGCTGAGGCTTGCTTTGTGCCCTAGGATATGATCTATTTTGGAGAAGGTTCCGTGGGCTGCTGAGAAGAATGTATATTATGTAGAAGTTGGATGAAATGTTCTGTAGACATCAAGTAGATCCATTTGATCTATTGTATATTTTATATCTAGGATTTCTTTATAGATATTTTGTTTGGATGACCTATCTATTGATGATAATGGGGTGTGAAAGTCTCCCACAACCACTGTGTTGGAGTTAATATATGCTTTTAGGTCCTTCAGGGTTTGTTTGATGAAATTGGGTGCGCTGACATTGGGTGCATATAGGTTGATAATTGTTATTTCCTTTTGGTCAATTTCCCCTTTTATTAGTATGGAATGTCCTTCTTTATCTCGTTTGATCAATGTAGGTTTGAAGTCTACTTTGTCAGAGATAAGTGTTGCTACTCCTGCCTGTTTTTGGGGGCCATTGGCTTGGTAAATCTTCTTCCAGCCTTTCATCCTAAGCCTATGCTTATTTCTGTCAGTGAGATGGGTCTCCTGTAAGCAACAAAATGTTGGATCTACCATTTCATCAAATGGTGCCTTTTGATGGAGGAATTAAGTCCATTATATTAAGTGTTAGTACTGATAGGTATGTGGTGATTCCTGTCATGTAGTTGTCTTAGTTGTTTGAGGTTTGATTGTGTGTACCTAAGTTGAGGTTACTCTCTACTTTCTAGCTTTTTCTTTTCCTGTAGTTTGGTGCTGCCTGCCCTTTCATGGTTATGTTGGGTTTCACTTTCTGTGTGCAGAATCCCTTGGAGAATCTTTTGCAGTGGTGGCTTTGTGGCCACATATTGTTTTAGTTTCTGCTTATCATGGAAAACTTTTATTGCTCCATCTATTTTGAATGATAGTTTTGCTGGGTAGAGTATCCTGGGGTTGAAGATATTTTCCTTCAGGGCCCGGAAGATCTCACCCCAAGCTCTTCTTGCTTTTAATGTTTCTGTTGAGAAGTCAGCTGTGATTTGATGGGTTTACCTTTGTATGTTATTTGTTTTTTCTATCTTACAGCCTTCAATATTCTTTCCCTAGTGTCTGTACTTGTTTTAATGATGATATGCTGTATGGTATTTTTGGTTTGATGTGGTCTGTTTGGTGTTCTAGAGGCCTCTTGCATCTGTATGACAATAGATTTCTCTAGATTTGGGAAATTTTCTGTTATTATTTTGTTGCATATATTACGCATTCCCTTTGCTTGCACCTCTTCTCCTTCTTCAATGCCCATGATTCTCAGGTTTGGTCTTTTGATGGAATCAGTGAGTTCTTGCATTTTCTTTTCACAGGTCTTGAGTTGTTTACCTAATAGTTCTTTGGTTTTTTTCCTTTAATTACCATTTCATCTTCGAGTTCTGAGATTCTGTCTTCTGGTTGTTCTATTCTGCTGGATTGGCCTTCCATTTTGTTTTGCAATTCCGTTTTGTTCTTTTCTCTGAGGTTTTCCATATCTTGAGTCCCTTCCTCTTTAATGTTTTCTATTTTTGTCCTGAGTTCATTTATCTCTTTATTAATCGCATTCTTTGTTTCACTTTGGTGAAACAGTGTTTCTATGGTTTCTTTTATTTCTTCTTGTGCTTTTTCAAATTCTCTATTTTTGTTGTCTTGGAATTTCTTGAGTGTCTCCTGTACATTTTGGTTGACCCTATCCAATATCATCTCTATACAGTTCTCATTGATTACCTGTAGTATTTCTTCTTTTAGATTGTTATTGTGTGCTTCATTGGGTTCTTTGGCATAGTTTATCTTCATTTTGTTGGAGTCTGGATCTGAGTATCTGTGTTCTTCATTTCCCTCTGGTTCCTGTACTAATTTTTTGCTGTGGGGAAACTGGTTTCCCTGTTTTTTCTGTCATCCCGTCATTGCCCTTGGTATTGTTATTGTCCCTGTACTGTGTGCAATTAAGTATTTTCTAGCTTGTAATAATAACAATGATGATATTTAGAATGGAAGGGTGAGAGGAGATGGAAAGCAAAGAAGTTAAAGAAAAAGGGAAAAACAAGTAAACAAACAAGTAGAAAAAAGAAAACAAACAAAAGTTTCAAAGATATAAACAGGGAGAGATAGTGTACTAATCAACAGTCAGCTGAACAGGCATTAGAGAGACAGAGAGGATTGAAAATAAAAAATAAAAATAAATAAAAATAAATAAATGAATGAAAAAATAATCTCCAAGTTCAAATGTAATAAAGTTTCAATCTTAATAATTTTTGCATTCACCCCTCAGCCTCCAGTCCTGTAGATGGTGTCTCAGAAGTAGTTCTATCGTTGTCTCATCAAAGGGGAACCAAAACTAATAAAAACCAAACCAAAACAAAACAGCACAAAACAAAAAAAAGAAAACCCCACAAAGTGTCCCATGTTCAAATGCAATACAGTTTCAGTAAGTTTTTCAGCATGCAGGTGTAGTTCGGTTATTGTCTCATCAAAGGGAGAGAAAAAAAAAAAAAGAATCTGGAGACAGTTCTGTCAATGGCTATCTGAGGCTGTGCCTCACCTGCCGGCTGCTGTCAGCCTGCTGTTGCTGGAGGCGTTATTTATGCACATCTCTGGGGTGAGCTTAGCACTGACTGGCCCCCCCACAGGCTTTGTTTACTCAGAGTTCTCCTGGGGGCGATGCCACCGCTACAAGTTTTCCCCTTTCCAAGCACACTGCAGGAGGTGACACTGCACCAGCTTTCTCAGGCCGGCTTGCTGGGCGGTGCTGCTGCTCCTGCCTTCCCTGGCCAGCTTGTGAGGGATTCCCCCCCCGCCCCGTCTTCGATGCTCAGAAAGCCCCCCCACCCTCTTTGCTAAATGTCTTTTTTGTTGTTATTGCTTATTATTCAGTTTCTGTTTTTTCCCTGGGTGGGGGTCGGTCTGTCCAGGGGGCTATGCTGATCTGGCCCAAGTTTGTCTGTGGGAGTACCATGTACCGCTTAGCTCATGGTCGTCTTCCAAAGCCGTCTGGGCACAGGCATCTGGCGGCAGCACGGGAGCCCTCTTGGTTTCTCCATTTAACGTGAAGTGGAGATTCTGTGCACAGGCTGGAGGTGTGGAGGAGTCAAAGTTTTGTCTGTTCTGGTTGGTTTTTCCTGTAATGTATATCTCCAGTGTCTCTCCAAGATTTTACTTTAGGAGGCATGCTTTCTGCTTCCTCCCTCTAGCTGCCATCTTGGAATTCTCTTCTATTTCTTTCATTGTTTCCTTTTTTTCT